ACGAACGAACGAACGACGACACACACACACACACACACACACACACACACACACACACACACACACACACACACACACACAAACACACCAACAAGGCGACGTGCTAGGTCAAACCGCAACAACGAGTGCGTACGTTGAAGAGGAGCAGGGCGCCCGCGTCCGTTGCGGTGCACAGCTGCCGTTCGTTCAGCGGGTTCACGGCGATCCCGAGCAACGTGTCTGTTTTCAGCCGGAGCGCCTCAGACTGGCCTGAATGGTGAAGGAGAGGGTGTGCACGGATATGTGATGGTGGTCGTCGAGTGTGGGCAGTAGTGTTGAGAGGAATGCGGCTATGGAGTGAACGTGATAGGCGCAACTAGGTGAACAGAGAAGACGCACGCACGCACACGCCTCGACATACTCGTACACACATGGACACAAACAGACACAGACAGACAGACACCAGACAGACACGCACACACCCTGCACACATCAGCGTCTCACCTGTGAAGGAGTATGTCATGCTTGCCTGGTCAAGGCGGGAGCGGATGCTGATGCTGTGGTTGTCGTGCAGACAATACAGCACCGGCGAATGCGGGCAGCTGGCAACTGCACAGAGCAGCAACAGCAGCAGCAGCAGCAGCAGCAGTAGCAGCATGTGGTGGACACATGGGATGGCACAATGTGAATGAGGGAAGAGCGGTGGTGGCAGGCGATGGATGGTGGTGTGACGTCGCAAAGAAAGGAGGAGAGAGGCGCGTGTGCCACACGCAGTGATGGTGTTCGCACCGGAACGGAAGGCGCTGCTTGATCGATCAAGGTGCACGGTGGCGACGGGCTGAATCGATGGGTGGTGATGTTGATGGTGGCACGGGGTGTTGATGGGTGGTGGTGTTGATGGTGGCACGGGGTGGTGGAGAGGGTAAGGGGTGATGGTGGATGGCGCATGGGCGAGTGATGAGGTGAGTTTCATGTATTCAGGCACACACACACACGCACACACACACACACACACACACACACACACACACACACACACAGACAGGCACACGGGCACGTGGCACGTGCAGCTGCATGGCACACCCTGTGGACGAGGAGGTCGAGGACGACGAGCTGATGAGCAAATGCGAGCACAACCTGGTGCTCCTCGTGCCGGTTGAACGACAGATGACGCAGCCCGCCCGTGTCTGGCGGCAAGTGCACATATGTGTATTGTGTGTGTATTGTGTACGTGTGTATTGCGTGTGTGTATTGTGTACGCGTGTGTATTGTGTAAGTGTGTGTATTGTGTGTATGTGTGTATTGTGTATTGTGTGTGTATTGTGTGTGAACGAAGCGTTAGAGTTGCCTGATGATGATGACGACGACGATGGCAACAATGAAAACGGAGGATCGATGTTCAATGTGGAAAAGAATACAGATGGGCACCAGCACATGCGCGCACAAAGCAGCGCACCTCCTCGCGGTTGCACGTGGAGATCTGTTGGCTTTGCGCGTGGCGGAGACGATGCCGATATGTCGTCCACAATCAGCACACAGCTCTGGTGGTGACGAAGGTACAGGGGTGAGCAGCAGTGGCATGTGTCAGGCTGCTCGTACTCACGTCATCACCACAGGCACACACACACACACACACACACACACACACACACACACACACACACACACACACACACACACACACACACACACACACACACACACACACACACACACAACTTACGTCTGGCAGGGCCATGACGGCCTGTGATGAGTTGTACGGGTTGAGGGCAAACTGAAGTGGTGCATACGACGAATAGTCCTACAAATGGCCACACACACAGACACACACAGACACACACACACACACACACACACACACACACACACACACACACACACACACACACACACACACACAATGGGTGTGAGGCATCTGGACGCAAGCACAGAGCCACTTGGCTCGGATTCCACGCGCTACATATGCAGAGTATGTCAGCCCCTTCATCAGTCCATTAGTTAACAACTCAGCCCATCAAGCCATGAGCTTGTGAGTGATGTGCATGCGCGACGATGGCCCCACGTGTGTCCAGAGCTGGCGACCGGCAGTGTTGAAACCGACGAGCATGTGATTCGCGTACAGCACGAGGAACTGCGGTGGCTCATCGTGCACCTGAGGCGGGGAAGCAGACGGCAGGGTGTGCAGGGGCCAAGGGGAGGCAGAGCAGATTTTGCGATGATGAGGTGAAGAAGCTGATACGAGCAGGGCCTGCACAATACGAATGGTGTAGTGGCCGATACGACCTTGTTGGGCAGCCATGCGAGGTCGAGGACGCTGTATCCTTTGCTTCCTTTGAGAAACGGGGCCGGGAACATCTTGGACTCGTGCTCCTCCACGTTCCACACGTAGACTACGCCTGAGTTGTGTGCAAGAAAAGGAAGGTGAAGGAGGGTCAGCAGGTGCGAGGGTAGACGTGAGAGAGGGAGGGAGGGAGGGGAGAGGGGTCGTCGCGACACGCAATGCAGCACACCGTGGCGTTTACCGCATTACCTCTGTCATCTCCGGTGAGCAGCCGCGGCATACGCTGTGTCAGGGGCTCTGCCAGTTCTTCCCATCGGACCTAGGTTTAATCATCACAGCAGGCATGAGACATGGCTTCGAAGGGCAACGTCCTCGAGTGCTATCTTCGCACAGACGCAGACACAGACACAGACACACAGACACACACAGACACACATACATACAGACACACGCACACACACACACAGACACGCACGTACTTGTGTGATGGGGTAGCGATGACCGTGCAAGTGTTGCACAACCTGATAGCGCCACAACATTGCATGAATCACGTTGTGATGTTCAGCCAGCAAACCCAGATGCATAATGCGAAGTAACATACCATGTCACAAACACACGTTATAAACAAAACAACAGACATCACAGCAGTCACAGTGGTGTTGCCTTGCTGTGCCACAATCCAGTCCCTTCCCCCCAGCACGCCCATCATGTGTTCTTCCTCACCCCTGGCTCTCCCCTCCGCTCACCTGTAAGGCCCGTGGGTCTGCGATCAGCACGACGTTGGAGCGGGGAAACGCCACAAACCCCGTCGTGCCCCACTGCACTCCATCACTGCTGCTGGACACCGCAGCAGTCTTGCCTCGCATCGTCGCTACACTTTGTGCTGTCGGAATCTGAACGCGTCTGCAACGGCTGCCTGCTGCCTGCTGCTGTTGTGCCAACACGCCACTACCCACCACTCGCCAACCATGGACCCAGCCATGTACATGTGAGTACGCCGGCAGCAAGGGTGGAAGGGAAGAGTGCAACCAAGGCAGGGGTGGAGCTGCTGTGCACGATATGATGTGAGGTGCGCTGGACTGAGTACAGACGGCATCGTGGCATTGTGTGCGATGTGACAAACTCAACAATGCCACTCCACCAGCTCACCGTCAGTGCGCATGCACACGCACTTGATACAGGGTGGTGACGTCGAGTCACATCTATTTGCATTGCCGCGCAGAGATCGGTGTCCACGTATCCATTGACCGCAGCAATCACAACATCAAGCCAACTCGTAAGCACGTCATGGTGCACACCTGGCGCGCTTGCACCGTCTGTTGTAGTTGGTGTTTCGTCTGAGTGGTCTGTTTCATCTCACAGTGCGCATGTTCTCCGTTACACTGAACAGGTCGCCCACCCACCTACGATCCGTCGTCCGCAGTGCCGCTCTTCGGGATTCTCGGCACCATTAACCTCGTCAACGGTGTGTGCATCTGGAAGCAGGGGCTGGATGTGACCAATGCAATGGTTGTGTTGCGGCTGCAAGTGAACAAGGGGTTGGGGTGATGTGTTGGGACGGAAAATGTCTTGCATGCGTTCGCTCGCATGCCCCATTTGCTCGGATGAATCACCGATTCCACCCAGTCCTTGTCCTTCCATGTTCATCAAGCGTCCTCAATGAGCCCCCCCCCTTCTTAATTTCCGCCACCGATCCCATCACGATCCCTTCCCCTTCCCCATCCACCGCGATTGCTCCAGGCCCATGCCTGATTGGCATCGATGGCGTCCGTGCAGTGGGCGCGCTGAAGGGCACGCATGCCGTGTTTCAGATCACATCCACGCGACTTCAGCCTTTCTCCGCCACCACCGCACACCTCACCCCAGACGAGGTGCACGCTTCTGAAGATGCACACTCGTGTTCTGCGCCTCCGTCGCTGCATTGCTGCGATACTGTAGTGCTGATCTTGACGTCGCCGACTACGTTCTTCATTGACATGTTTCTGACCCCGCGTGTCATTCTCAACACACCATAACCAACGCCCCCTCCCTCTCTCTCTCCCTCCCTCGACGTTGCAGGCCACAAGCCAGGCGCACTGCCTTGATTTGCTCGCGTCCATCACCAGCGATGGCGACTTTTACTTCTCGCACACATATGATCTCTCCAGCTCCGTCCAACAACAGGCCTTGATGGTAATGGGAAAAACAAAGAGGGGAAGGGTGATTGGCAGGTGACAGGGTTTCTCGCTTTCTATTGCGCATCCACTGAAACGAACACACACACGCACACACACACACGCACACACACATACACACACACACACACACACACACACACACACACACACACACACACACACGCATACACAAACACACACACACACACATATGCACGCGTACGTGTACACCAGTGGCAGACGGCGGGCGGGTCTGGGTCGCGCATTGCACTTGACGAAATGGCTGATCCACGATTCTACTGGAACCGCAGCCTCCACAAATCCCTCATCGCAAAGCCGGAGGTGGGGCGTATGCTCTGTTTGTATGTGTGTGTGTGTGTGTGTGTGTCTGTGTGTCTGTGTGTGTGTGTGTATCTGTGTATGTATGTATGTGTGTGTGTGTGTGCGTGCGTGTGTGTGAGTGTCGTGTGTCGTGTGTGTGTTCATTGTGTGTGTGCTGGTCGTGTCACTCGGCACGGGGTTTTGTCACCGTATTTTGCTGTTCTGCCGTTCATGTCACCACCACATCAACTCAACTGCACCACGGCGGTATTTTCATACGCATGACTCCATCCCACTGCACTGCACTGCACTGCGCACATCGCCGCAGCTGCGCGTGCTTGCGGTGCCGGTGATTATGGGGTTCGTGCACATTGAGGCCGTCAACATCAACGGAAAGCCGTGTCAATATTGCCTCATCTCCAGACGCGCAACAGCGAGAGCAGGTCAGCTGTCGGTGGTGGTGGTGGTGGTGGTGGTGGTGGTCTCGATGTGGGTGCACCCTTGTGCGTGCATGTGCGCACACACGTGTCCTTGCGTTTAAATACTCAGGTATGCGTGTGTTTCGCTACCTTCCATGCCGCCTCAACGCTGGTTGCGTCTTGGTTCTTGTATTGATCGTTTTTGCCTGCAGGCACGCGGTTCTTCAAACGCGGTATCGACGAGCAAGGGCACGTGGCAAACTACGTTGAAACGGAGCAGGTGCGTTGGCGCAACCATGAGCGGGCATCGTGTTCTTGCTCACGCGTGTCACTCCACGCGCATCTTGCCACAACTAGCGTTTCAATGTTCCTTCACCATTCCTGGTCATATTTCATACGGCCGTCCATCTCCACACATGTTGCTCCAGATTGTGTCGTGCGGATCGCTGGTGTCATCGCACGTGCAAGTGCGCGGGTCCTTCCCGCTCTTCTGGTCTCAAACGCCGTCGTTCAAGTACACGCCCACAATTGCGATATCACGCACGCGTGACCACTTCCACGCAGCGAAGCGACACTTCAACGACCTCTCACTGGTCAGTGTGCACGCATCGTCGTGTAAGCTCGCGCGTGCTTGTGTGTGTGTGTGTGCGTGTATGTGTGTGTGTATGTGTGTATGCTGAAGAATTGCACGTCAAGCGAACATGATCGGTGTCCCTCCACTCCTCACTCACTCACTCACACACACTCTCACTCACTCACTCACACACACTCTCACTCACTCACTCACACACACTCTCACTCACTCACTCACACACACTCTCACTCACTCTCTCTCTTGCTCCCCTTCCGCACACACCACAGCGTTTTGGGGAGGTGCTTGCGCTGAACTTGGCCGGGCACAAGAAGGGCGAGTGGCAGCTGTGTGAGCGGTATGAGGCAATCGCCAACCAGCTCAAATCAGACGTCAACCTGAGGTGCGTGTTGGTGGTGGTTATGGTGCTGGACGTGGTGATGCTGCTGGGATGCGTGTGCAAGCGGTGGTGGCACTGTGGCGTGAGGGCGCCATTTGCATCGACTGCCATCGTTCGTGTAAACCTCACGCTCCATCTATGCATATTGTGCGCGTATTATCCCCGTGTGTGCAAACTATTTGTGCGTGTGTATGTGTGACAGATATTTGCATTTTGATTTCCACAAGGAGTGCTCGCGCATGCGATGGCACCGTCTCTCCCTCCTCATGGTGAGAACAGAATATACACACACACACACACTACCTTAAGACATTTGCACGCTTGTACACACACACACACACACACACACACACACACACACACACACACACACACACACACACACACACACACACACACACACACACACACACACACACACACACACACACCCCACTCAAAGACTTCACCCGGCCTAACTTATTGCCGCCGCCAATGCTCGAATCAATTCTCATCCAATCGCCGACAACGAGCACAAAAGTCGTCTGATGTGTTCTGCATCCACTTCCCCCACCCTCCCCGCTTCCACTTCTGCAATGACTCAGAACTAAGTTAGCTCGAGCATCTTCCTCTCCCCTCTTTCTGTCTTCTTTCCATTGACATGGTTGTGTGCTTTGTCTAACAGTACACGCGTTACAATACACCGACGAGAATTAAGCCAATTCCACAAGAACCGTGAGCAAGCGTGTATGATGGGTAACTGATACGCTAACAGCGATAACAACGCTGACAACGACGAGGCAAGCAGTCGCAACAACTAATGGCAACAGCAAATATGAACCACGAATAATGGCAACAACAACAACAACAACGAATAATGGCAACTCAACCAACGTGACAGCAAAGGTTACAACACTTCAACCCCCCCGCCACGTCCATCTACCACATACATACCACATGCAACACACGCCTCTCCTTTCTTCGACTACAAACACACACACACACACACACTCTCTCTCTCTGCCTCTGGCAGAGGAACGGACGACAACTGGACTATGCGAATGAGGTGGACGCAGCGTCCTCCGAGTCCTCCCTGTCAATGAGGGGCGTCGTGTCTTGCTGCGCGCTGCCCTTTGTCGACGTGGTGTCGCGATAGAGCGGATTCCTGTACCGGTACGATTGCGCAATGTACACGAAGATGAGGCAGACAACGCCCATCACCCCGGCAAAGAAGAAGAACTCATCCCGCTGGCGCGAGAAGAACGACGACTCTGCCACGATGATGACAATGAGACTGCCAATGGCAACAGTCAGCTGCCACGCCGCCTGCACCACAGCCTTCATGCTCCCGGGCGCCTCCGAAAACGCAAACTCCAGACCCGTGATGGAGAACAGAATCTCGCCGCATGACATCACAACGTATTGCGGCAGCTGGAGCAGAACGGACACGGAGTTTCCCGGCACGTCCGTCACGCGCGTTGTGGACGCGTGTGTTCCATTCCACCGCACGGCCACCGTGTAATCTGCTCCGTCCTCGGCCGTCACCCGCGATGACGTCAGGTTGGCAACCACTGTTCCGTTCGCGCCCACCTGCCTGATTTGGAAGGTTAAGCGCCCGCTGTCAAACACCCCCTGAGAGTACGTGGTTGCGTTTCTTGCTGCCAGCGCCTTTGCAACCACTTCCCCGTGGTGTCCGTGCTGCTGCTGCTGTTGCTGCTTGTTGCCTTCACTGCTCTTCTCTCGCGTAATTTGAATGTCAAGCGGAGTGAGGTTGACAAACTTGATGCGCGCGCTGTCCTCTGCCGCTGTTGTGGCGCGACCGTCCTCGTCATTCGGGTTCACCCAGCTGCGGACGCTGTGGTCTGCCGTCAGCACGTGTGCCAGCGCCCCGCTCCCGCTGTCCACGAACACGTGTACAGAGTGGCGTGCAGCCTCCGACAGCGTGAGGTTGATGATGGTGTACGCGGGGAAGCCCGGCACCACGACGCGCACGTCCGCGCCGGTTGCCGGCACGCGCGTGTACCGCGTCGCCGTGCCGTCTGCAAGCGTCTCGTTGTCAAGCATCCGCTTCCCACCAAACAGCACATCGCCGCGCTCACTGCGGCCGTAAACATGTCCAACATGATAATCGCTGCGAGCAATGCGCGTGTTGCTGGTGGCGGCGGTGGTGGTGGAGACGCTGAGGTCGCCCGTGATGAATGCGCTCACGTCTGTGCCGGCAAAGTTGACGATGCGCAGGTTGCTGAACCCGTGGTGGATTGAGAGGTCA